TCTCAAGCCATGGATACGCCTACAATGATTGAGGGCAAAGAATTACTGGCCACGAGCAAAGCATCCCATGGAAAGGCAGTTATTTTGAAGAATGATGAGCAAGTGGAGGAACTTTTTCCAGTGGAGACACTCAAGCATATAAGCTTGCTAAATTTCATGAGATCAAGTTGGCTGTTCTTTGTGAAGTTGGTAGCACAGGCTCATCACTAAGTTGTTTGGCTAAATTTTAAAACTTTAAAAGATTACATCATTTCCAATTTATAGTATGGAAGAGATATTTCAAAGGAAGGCTTAAGAAGAAATGAGAAAACAAAATTTGGAGACATTAAATGATAGCATATTAGTCTGAAATCCAAAACTCATGCATGATATCGCTTTAAAAAGTATTAATGATAGAGGTCAATTTTTTTTTGTTTTGTGTTATGTACTAGATTCTATAAAATTGCATCTTTTTAATATTATAACTTTGCACTTACTTGGCTCTTTAACACACTTGATTTAGAAATTTTTTATTAGGGTAAATTATTTAATTTGAGTCAATTATTAATTTAAAAAAATCATAATAAACTCAACAAATCAAATCTGTTGTCTATATGTACATGAATTATGAACAAATTTATTACATTAGCCATAATTAATTTAGCCTTAAATTAATTAATGTAGAAAATATTATATATTAATATGTTAATTTTATTATTTTATTTAAGATTAAATTTATTAATTTGAGCCAATTTGTGGCCAATGTAATGAACTTGGCCATAATTCATGTACTTGTAGACAATCCATTTGATTATGTTGAATTTATCATGTTTTATTTAGTTAATAAGTTAACTCAATTATTTATTTTACCCTAAATTAAATAATTTTCCCTAATTAATTCTTTTTGGCTCAATTTAAAAAAATATTTGAAAAATAATGGGATTCTGATCCACCTCTTCTTCTATATAACCTAGGGTTTTGAACTAATATAAATATACATATTATACATAGGAGATGAAAGGCAATATTAAGAGTAATTGAATTTATGTTTTTTTTTAATTTAACTTTTACATTGTTTAGATTTCTTTTGTTCTCGTAAATTTTTCCATTTCTTTTTTATTGCTCTCTTTCATCAAGAGGTTCATTCAATACCTATTTAATCAAATGTTTACTTTCCAATTTTTTTTATAATAAGAGGTTTATCCTTTTTTGTGTTTTCTGATATGAATTTAAATTTATCTTCTATTGCTCTGTCTGTTATTATATATTATTATCTACATTTGCATCATATGGTAAAGTTAGTCTTCATTCTCTATAGCAACAGTTATACGTATATGTGTAGCATAAGATAAATTTAATTGTGTGATCATGAGTTTGAGTTTAAATTATTATGGATAGTGTTAAGTCAAAATTTTATTGTATGATTGTTCGATTTGAATAATACTTTTGCAACTTTCCAGTGGATAATAGATAAGTTTCTCTATAATATACTAGAAATGACTACTAACATTATTGTTCATGCTTTAATCCATGTATGTTTATAATATCCAAACGGTTTTAAATTAATTATGTCAAATTGATTTGGGATCTAAACAAGAAATTAGACTACTTTAGTTTTAAGATTTATCTTGGGTTTTGCATTTCTCATAAAAACATACAAGTTGATCTTGAAAAATTTATAATTATTTTAAATTTTGATAGTAGAATCAATTATAGTTTCCCATTTATTTGTGTTGATAGTGTTTGATTTAATAAGGTTTTTTTGTGGTTAAATACTGCTAATCCAACTATTTAACTCATTAATAGAAGTTTTATTTGCAATTGTTGTTAGATATTTTTTGTCAAATGGTGTTCCAAAACAATGGATCAAATAATGATTCCATGAAGCATTTTATATTTTAATATCTCAATTAGGGATACACCCACGTTATTTATTAATAAATAATATTTTTAATGAAATAATTCATTATGAGCTTCAGAGGGATGATTTCAAAGTATATAGAATTTTAATATTTAAATTGTGATGCTTATTTATTATCTTTTTAGCTTACATATATTATAGGGGTGTAAGTTTTGTTAATGTTTCATTATAAAAACTCATATATAGTCATAATTTTATATTGCTAATGTAGTTAGTTTATATTTACGATAGTTGATAATGTTAGGTTTTGGGATTAGTATTTAACAAGCATTTTTCCATTAGTCCAAGTAAAACTTTTTAAACACTTAAACATATAAATTATACTTCCCAATCTTATAATGCATAGTTTGTTTAAAAGGTTTTCTGCCCAATAGAAGGGATTATCAAGTATTATAGCAAGTTGAATTATGTTTATAAGATTTAACATGACATTTAGGAAACAAATCTTTTAGAAATTATATATATGTAAACATTAAACCATTTTACAAAAGGATCATGAATAAATTATACTATCTATGAATGCACTAGTGCCTCTTCTTGATATTTTTCTAGCATTGACTCTCATTCTAAAAGGAGTTATATTATTGTATATTATTAATAATGTAGTGAAACTTTAATAGATACTGGATTGGATTCAATTTAAACCACTTGCTACTCTAAAACAATTAGCTAAATAATTTAATTATATTTTCCCACACGATTGCAAAACTAAAATTTCAAATCCCCAACTGTAGTGTGGCAATAGAGAGATTGCATTAGATCTCTTCTCTGAAATAAAGTGCTAAGGATTAGTTAAATAAAAATTTAGAATAAACCAATATCTTATGTTAAGGTGGGTTCCATACATCCCTCACTTGGAAATTTCTCCACCATGGAAAAAAAAACTCCCCCCTTTTAAAATTTTAAGGTTACATGTAACTCTGTTTTACTAATATAAATGTATGATTAAAAAATGAAAACATGGCAAGACGAAGTTTCCAATTCAATTTTATACCATAATTTTTCAAAAATATATTAATAAACTAGCAAAAAATCCAGCTCTCCTGGCCTATAAAAATAAATTTTTAATGATGTCTTACTAAAATAGAAACATTGTTCAAAAGAAATCTTGTAAATCTTTTTAAAGTACATAAATAACATATGAAATAAATTACATGTTGATTTTCATGATCTGCTCAAAATCTTCATTTGGTAAAATAAAAAATAATAATGAAGTTTTTATAAGTGAAATTTAATAATAAATCTATGTCCAAATAAACTAAATTGCTGACTTTTAAAATTAACTCAGAGATATTTATATCACTTTTTAGTAAAAATAAATCAATATATACAAAATATTATATATACAGCTTAACAAACTCCCATGTATACTTTAAAAATTAAAGATGTGCATATTCATAAAAGTCTAGATAGTTATATTAGTTTCTTATAAACATTATTATCTAGTTATTATAAACATCTAAAAGCTTGAATTTAATTATTTTAACTTCACATAAAATATTTTGAAGTAATATCTGTTTTCAAAATTTTTGTTATTTGACTTAATAGAATTGCATTACAGAAATTTTCTCCTAGAAAATAGACTAATAACATTAGCTCTCTTGTGTCAAAGTCTTTTCTTTCTATCTACCAATCTCAAGTGGCAATTAGAGAAGCCAGCAATTCCATCTTTAAGAGAAAGAGGGTAATCCATGAGTTGCACTCCATTGCTTTCAAGAATAATATTAGCAAAGATCATTACATGTCTAAGGTGGAAGCTATGGAGTACATGTTGAGCTATGCCCAAGTAGAAAAAGAGGATGCATGACATTAAGGATGCAAAAGTAGATCCTATGAAGTTTTTGAAACTTTAGATTTGTTTAAATAGAGAACAAAAGAATTCACCTATCTATACAAAATAGAAGCACTTACAAAGAACATAAGCAATTGGAGTTTATGTAAATGCTGCATGGAGGCATTTGCATAGCAGCTACATATGGATGTCAACATACTTAAATATGGATCAAACTCCAAATTTTATGTATTTTTGCTCTCAACTAATGTGAATAAACAACCTTACTCCTCAATAGTGTTCACCTTTGTATAAAACAGGGGTGTATTTCCATATTTAGAGCCTACACATTGCTTTATTAAGTAGTACATCTATATATTTGTTCTACAGATAAAATTGAGATGTAAAATGAAAACTCAATCTAATGGGTGGTGCTCATAATATTAATTCATGCTTATAAACAAAATAAATTACCCCATTAAAATTACCTTTTCTTCTTCTTCTTTTTAGTATTGTAGCCGTTACCACTATATGCTATGCATGCTTGTCTAGTCATTTGCAAATTTGATGATGTGTGTAGCAGCCAGAAGTAAAAGCCACAATCACATAGTCAACTTGCAAGAGTTTATAAATGAAAAATACTTATAAAACTATAGGGAAAACCATTACATTTCGGCAATACTCATTTGTTTATTGCATTATTCTAGATTCTCAAGAACTACCTATATTGTCAAGCCTTGTGTGAAAGGGATGCAGTGTATTCTTATACTTGATGCTAATCACATATACTTTCAACAACCTTTAGTGTAAAAAGCATCTCTTCCTTGTAAAGCTCTCTTGCCTGATTAGTAAAGATATATCATCAAGTTCTCTATAAAGTGTAAACACTACATTGCCATAAATAATAATCATCTATATCAATGTTTGGTTCACACTTGTATTTCTCTAGGTCCTATAACAAGTTCACCTAGGTAAACAAAGGTTATATGAGTTAATAGGACTGTAATCTTGTGTCTAAATGAAAAGTTCCTCGACCTTTCCAAATGAGCTATATAATCATTTATCAAGATATTGAAAGTTTCCTAGTTCAGAATGTAAAAAGCCTCTTACATCTAATTCTTAGCATCTTTTATATTCAAGTTTTTCTTATAAACATCAATCAAAAGATTGTAATAGCCATGATTTATCTGGAAAGTCATGCTTTACATCACCCACAACACAAATAATTATAAAAAAGAAAGATTCATAAAAGTTGCAATGGAAGAACACTACAACCTATGTAACAGACTTATGCATTTATGTAACAAGAACATTAATGTGACCTTTAGGTAGGTGTCCAAATAGCTAAGGCATCTTCTTTCAATATAGAACTTGTGCCAGAAAACCTGTTGCTATCTATACAAGAAAGATCAAAGTTCAAGAGAAGAGAAGAAAAATAAGAGAAAAGAAGAAGAGAAAAAACAAAAAAAGAAAAGCAAGGTGTTTATACATAAGTGGATGTTCTCTAAGTAGCTGTCTGGATTCGGAACCACCACATGCCGATCGAACCGACCAGGACGGACAAGCGCCTTGTCGAGAGATTCGGGGAAGTTCGTAGCCGCGATCACTATGATGCCTTCGTTTTGCTTGAAACCGTCCAGCTCCACCAACAACTGGTTCAGTGCGCTTCTTCGCAGCTGCGAATAAGTCCCGCGCTCGCCGAGCACCAACTCCGACGAACATTTCCTCGAACTCGCTCCCGCTGCAATAGAAAAACGGTACCACTGCTTCACCAGCAATTGCCAGAGCCAGCATCTCTTTCCTGTTCCAGGAGGCCCAACCAGAAGGACGCCTTTCGGTAGCTTGCCACCTAGACGGGTAAATTTCTGCAAAGAAGCAACCGAGACTGGAGTTACAAACCGGAGAAACACGAAAGAAAAATAGATAAAGCAATGACCTTTGGATCCCAAAGATAGTGAACAATCTCCTCCAACTCCGCTTTGGCTTCGTCGACTCTTTTCACGTCACTGAACTTGGTATTAGACTCCGAGCTTGGCTGTACCTCCTCATTGAGACCCAGCCCTGCCAGGAACCTCCTTTCCTATACAGACAAGGATGCCAGTTCAACACGTAGGCAAGACCTTAAAACAAACGCATCCATCCATTGCAAGCCATGCTCTACGATGCTTACCTTTGCTGAGGGCCTTGTCCTTGACAATGGCCCCAACGCCAGAGAGAAGTAGAAAGCCCAGAGCCAAGGTTCGAACAGTCCGCCACACTTGAACTCTAAAACCTCCTTCGGACGTGACCATGTGGATTGGCGCACTGGGAGAGCCCAAAATTCCGTCTTTCGTGGCTGTTCCTACTGCCGGAAACGCCGAAGACATGATCGGTCGCGCCTCAGCTTGAAAACTTCCTAGCGATGCAGTTGCTCCTACACGGTTTAAAAGAAAAAAGGAGGATCAGATCCGATAAAGAAAGAGTTACAGCGTTTACCTCTTTGCAGCGTTTTCAACAAGGCACTGTCATCGAGCCTATCGACCTTGACGAGAGCTTTGAGATACTCGGCCAAAGCACTGGCGCTGCGCTGCGGAAGTGGTCTACCCTCGGGATCCACCTCGTTAAGATCTCTTAGAAACTTCACTTGTTTCTCCTGAGCAGGGTCCTCCTTCTCTCTCCAGCTGCTCCAGCCTTCTCGAGAAATTGCTTGTGTAGCTGGACATGCAGCATCTCTTGAAATTCAAGCATCATTAGCAACGGGAAGAGGACGAGGGAAATCGGATAGAAAAATGCCTGCATCCAGCTGCTTCAACACAATCGCGCGTCCCAGCCCATATCGAAATCCGCGGGCAATCAGCGCGGGCGCAGCCCTAATGGGAGAGAGGAAAGAGAGCGCCATACCTTCTCCAGCAACTGACGCCATGCCATGCCGCCCGAGCTCCCAAAATCGATCCTTCACGCGCTAGGGCGCCCTGGCAGCCACCGCCTTCACGTGCTAGGACGCCCTGGCAGCCACCGCCTCCCCCAGAAGTCCCCAAACTATCCCGCGTTTCAATTCCCCCTTAATTTCGTGGCATATTCTCCCGCGTGAGACGGAAGATTCTAAAAGTACACATTCACAACCAAAAAAAAAAACCCAGCCTTTTGGCTGGTTATATAATACAAAGAAAACTGTACATTCTCTTCCATTGTAAAAAATGTGGTGATGCACCTGGAGCTATCGTTATGGGGGCAGCACCGAGTT